TCCTCTCCCCTCCTTCCCCTCCCCTCCTTCCTATCTGATTGCTCTAGCTAGGACTTCCATTGCTGTGTTGAATAACAGTGGTGAAAGTGGGCATCCTTATCATGTTCCAGATGTTAGAGGAAAGGCTTTCGGTTTTTTTCCCCATTTAGTATGGGGGTCTATTATATATGACTTTTGTTATGTTGAAATATGTTTTCTATACCCAGTTTTTTGAGGGCTTTTATCATGAAAGGATGTTGAATTTTATCAAATGCTTTTTCAGCATCAATTGAAGTGATCATATGCTTTTTGTCTTTCATTCTGTTGATATGATGTATATATTAGGGTTCTTTAGAGGGACAGGACTTATAGAATAGATGTATATATGAAAGAGTTTGCTTTTTTGTTTGTTTGTTTTGAGACTCTCTGTCACCCAGGCTAGGGTTTGTAATGGCACGATCTCGGCTCACTGCAACTTCTGCCTCCCAGGTTCAAGCAAGTCTCCTGCTTCAGCCTCCCGAGTAGCTGGGAGTACAGGCACATGCCACCAAACCTGGCTGGCTAATTTTTGTATTTTTAGTAGAGACGGGGTTTCACCATGCTGGCCAGGCTGGTCTTGAACTCCTGACCTCATGAGGCCGCCCACCTTGGCCTCCCAAAATACTGGGATTATAGGCGTGAACCACTGTGCCCAGCCGAAAGGGAGTTTATCAAGGAGTATTGACTCACACAATCACAAGGTGAAGTCCCACAATAGGCTGTCTGCAAGCTGAGGAGCAAGGAAGCCAGTCCCAGTCCCAAAACCTCAAAAGTAGGGAAGCCGGCAGTGCAGCCTTCAGTCTGTGGCCAAAGACCTGAGAGTCCCTGGCAAACCACTGGTCCAAGAATCCAAAAGCTGAAGAACTGGGAGACCAATGTTTGAGGGCAGGAAGCATCCAGCACAGGAGTAAGATAAAGGCCTGAAGACTCATCCAGGCCAGACTAATCCTTCCATATTCCTCTGCCTCCATTTATCCTAGCCATGCCAGCAGCTGATTAGATGGTACCTACCCAGATTGAGGGTAGGTCTGCCTCTCTCATTCCACTGACTCAAATGTTCATCTCCTTTGGCATCACCCTCACAGACACATGCAGGAACAATACTTGCATCCTTCAATCCAATGAAGTTGACACTCAGTGATAACCATCACAGTGTATTACATTGATTTGTGTATGTTGAACTATTCTTGCATCCCTGGGATAAATCTTACTTGATCATGATGATCTTTTTAATGTGTTGTTGAATTTGGTTTGCAAGTATTTTGTTGAGGAAAGAATTATTCCTGTAAGAGAAGCTTTGCAATTCCAGTATGTTACCCAAATAGTTGCTTATTTTTCTAAACATTATAGACTGAACATTATTCCTTTTGTATGGACTGTTACCATATTGCAACTCCAAAAGAAATAATGAATATAAGTACAGTAGTGATTCTCAGTAGCTGTTAATCCTGATAATCAGATAAAAGACAAGGAGCATTATAGTGGATAGAATCAGACTGATATAATCTGAGCCCTAAGATAGGTCTTAGTATCTTAGAAAGAGGTGGGTGGATCACCTGAGGTCCGGAGTTCGAGACCAGACTGACCAACATGGAGAAATCCTGTCTCTACTAAAAATACAAAATCAGCTGGGCATGGTGGCGCATGCCTGTAATCGGAGGCTGAGGCAGGAGAATGGCTTGAACCTGGCAGGTGGAGGTTGCTGTGAGCCGAGATCGCACCATTGCACTCCATCCTGAGCAACAAGAGTGAAACTCTGTCTCAAAAAAAAAAAAAGAGAGAGAGAGAGACACAACCAGATCCTATTTGCATCCTGATGGGATGTAATAGGAAATAGACAATACTGTCTATGAATATTCTTGCAAAAAAAAAAACCTGAAATCTAGCCAGGCATTTACCATTTACCTCTGACTAGTTTATAGGATATTTGTGTGATAAAGAAACATGTTAAAGGACACCTTGGAGATGGAGTCAACAGAACCCAGAACGTATGAAATGTAACAAAACAGATGAACCACTTTCATCAACAAATACATGGCAAGGAGAAAAAGAAGGAGGAACTGTTAAAGATTAAAAGAAACATTAATAAAATATAATGTATGGATTATGGATGCTGATTTTTGAAAGCTCACTGTAAAAGAACTTTGACTATTTGATATTAGAAGGAATGATTGTTAAATTTTAAAATATTGTGACTAATTTTTTAAGTCCTTATATTTTAGAGATATATACTAAAGTATTTACAGATGAAATGATGTAATTTCTGAGATTTACTTCAAAATAAACCAGCCGGGGAATGGAGGGAGGAATATAGATGATGTTCCATTAGTTGGTAGATGTCAAAATGGGCAATAGTGATGGGATTCATTGTTATTTCTACTTTCGGATATATTTGAAATAAAAGTTTTTTAAACCAAAATACAACAACAACAATAAAAAGACATTATACTAACAGAACAAAGTATTTCTGATCTTAAAAATTACAGAGAAACTCAGAGGCCACACTGGGATAATTGGTACCTGTTTGTTTTGGGAGTTCTCATATACCTCTGCCAGTATTACCTCAGATATTAAGAGCAATAATTTTGTTATATATTTTCCTCAGAGTTCCACAAACATGTGGAGTTTGATTTCCTTATTAAGGGCCAGTTTCTGCGAATGCCCTTGATCAAACACATGGAACTGGAGAACATCTCATCAGTAAGTTCAAATACTTGCCTTCTGTATTTCACTTAAGGCATTATTGGCTTAAACTCCTTTTAAAATCACACTGAATCTATCTTTAGTAGCAACGATTCTTTTTAATATATTGAATATATATATTGTGTGTGTTATATATTGTGTGTATATTATGTGTGTATACTGAATATATATCGTGGGTGTATATATATATATGTATATTCCTGTATGTTCTGTTTTGAAGCCCTCTTTTTTTGTGAGAGTGTTTTATTCAAGAAATAAATGAACACATTCTTTATATATGTGGAAAAACTGGCAAGAAAGGGAATAGCAAATATGTGTATACAAATACTGGTGCACAAAATAACTAGGCACATATAAAAACTGTGGATTAAGCTATTATTTTTCCCTTCCTCTTATTTTCAAAGTTTCCTTATATTGCTTTTATGATTAAAAATATAACTTATAGTTGTTGCTTGTTTTGTGATTTTTAAAAATTGTGGTAAAATATACATAACATAAAATTTAGAGTTTTAACCATTCTCAGGTATACAATTCAGTGGCATTAAGTACATTTACAATATTGTGCAACCATCACCATTTTCCAGAATTGTTTCCTTATCCTGAACAGAAGACCTGTACCCATTAAACAATATGCTTTTATTCTTAATTTTAATGTTTTCTTATATCTTCTTTTTTTTTTTTTTTCTGAGACAGAGTCTCCATCTGTTGCCCAGGCTAGAGTGCAGTGGCACAGTCTTGGCTCACTGAAACCTCTGCCTCCTGGGTGCAAGTGATTCTTGCGCCTCAGCCTCCCAAGCAGCGGAATTACAGGCATCCACCACCACGCCTGGCTAATTTTTGTATTTTCAGTAGAGATGGAGTTTCGCCATGTTGGCCAGGCACATCTTGAACTCCTGACCTCAGGTGATCCGCCCGCCTCAGCCTCCCAAAGTGCTGGGATTACGGGTGTGAGCCACTGCACCTGGCCTAAGGCTTTCTTATATTCCTTTTCCCCCTGTTTTCAGCATAAGTTTTACAAGGCCATTAGTATTTCTTCCTTTTAAATTTTTTGTTAGGAGACAGGTCTTGCTTTGTTGCCCGGGCTGGACTTGAACTCCTAGGCTTAAGCAGTCCTCCTGCCCCAGATTTCCTAATGTTAATAGGTAGGACTACGGGTGTGAGCCACCATGCCAAGCTATTATTTCCTAATAATCACTCTTAGCTTACTGTTAGGTCAAATAAAGTTCTTGACTTTTTGAATGGCTCCAAATTTGCTGAGTTATGAAGGGGACTAATATGAAGGATATGAAGGAGATATATTAAATTGGGGTTCTTTATCTTCATAATGTAGTATTTTAAAACTGTACCATCTGACTTGTTGCTGGTTTCTCTTGTGACTAGGAAGAAGTTGTGGAAATAGAATACGTGGAGAAGTATACTGCACCCCAGCCAGAACAATGCATGTTCCATGATGACTGGATCAGTTCAATTAAAGGGGCAGAGGAATGGTATTGCCAGATTAATGCTCTTCTCTTTTTTCATTTACCTCCTTCATTCTTTTTAAATCCATATATAAATATTTTTCTGTGATTTACTGTTATTTGTAAATTAATTTTGTGATCTCTATATCAGTGGCCACGCCAAACAGAAAGATCTTTGCACTCAGTGTCTACAAGAAGAAACAGGTGGTCGGGCACGGTGGCTCACACCTGTAATCCCAACACTTTGGGAGGCCGAGGCGGGTGGATTATGAAGTCGGGAGATTGAGACCATCTTGGCTAACGTGGTGAAACCCCATCTCTACTAAAAAAATACAAAAAAATTAGCCGGGCGTGGTGGCAAGTGCCTGTAGTCCTAGCTACTTGGGAGGCTGAGGCAGGAGAATGGCATGAACCTGGGAAGTGGAGCTTGCAGTGAGCCAAGATGGCCCCACTGTACTCCAGCCTGGGCGACAGAACAAGACTCCGTCTCAAAAAAAAAGAAACAGGTATTTATTAATGGATACTCTGTTCTGTTCAAGATGTAATAGTAACAATTACTGTTGTCTTTTTTTTTTTTTTTTTTTAAAACGGGTTCTCCTTCTGTTGCCCAGGCTGGTTTCAAACTCCTGGGCTCAAGCAGTCCTACTGCCTCTGCCTCCTGAATAGATGGGATTTCTCTACACCCGTCTACATTTGTCTTCTGAATAAGTCGTGTATCTTAGAGCATTTAATTTATTTGGTTTGATTATGTTGCTTTTAAGACCAAGGATATAGTTTGTTTCATAGAGGAAAAAAGTAACCTTTATAGCCATAGATCTCCTGGCCTAATACCATAAAGATGCATAGCATGCTCTTTTAGAGCTAGAAAGAGCAGACTGTACTCAAGAAAGAAGGTACAGATATCTCAGGGCAAATCCTCACTGGCCTTGCGTTTAGGAAAACACCTCAAGAGTAGATTATAGTAGGAGCTTACTTCTTTCAGAGAACATCTCCCTGGAGTTATTACATAAAGTTATGTTTCTACTAGTTTTAGTTTAAATGGTTTTCACTGGTTGAGTACAAAGTACTTCAGGTTGACAGCCAGGCGCGTGACTCACGCCTGTAATCACAGCACTTTGGGAGCCTAAGGCAGGTAGACCACTTGAGATCGGAAGTTTGAGACCAGCCTGGCCAACATATTGAAACCTGTCTCTACTAAAAATATAAAAAATTAGTCAGGTATGGTGGTCCATGCCCGGAGTCCCAGTTATTCGGGAGGCTGAGGCAGGAGAAGCACTTGAACCCAGGAGGCAGAGGTTGCAGTGAGCTGAGATCACGTCACTGCCCTGCAGCCTGGGTAACAGAGCAAGACTGTCTCAAAAAAAAAAAGAAAAAAGAGCACTACAGGTTGGGGTATTCCTTATCTGGAAATGTTTGGTACCAGAAGTGTTTTGGATTTAGGATTTTTTTTGGGGGGAGGGGTAGTTTTGCAGTATTAACATATACATAGTGAAATATCTTAGGGACGTGATCCAAGTCTAAACATGAAATTCATTTATGTTTCATATATAGCTTATATACCTAGCCCAAAAGTAATTTTATATTGTGTATATAATATATAATATATATTTTA